TTCGAAAAAATAGATTTTTCGTATGTTTTACTATTGATCAGCAAATTTCGGCCAATACTTTTTGGTAGTGAGTGTATATGCATATTTGCTTACCATATGACCTCATAGTTCGAGTCTCGAAACGTTTCCTTAAACGTATCATGAATGTACTCGTGCATCACCGTATCCTCATTATTTTCTTTTTGTGGTTTATAAAGATGCATTCTTTCATAGCTGTGAAGAAAGATCAGATTGAAAATCATTAGTAGAAATGGCAGAAAGATTAAATAAAGGTTGAAATAAAAAATCCTTACAATGATCGGGTGACAGCCTGTGTAGTTTCGAACAATCTTCTTTCTTCATCCGAATATATCACTTCTTCACGGTACTTTCCCCAGGTTTCGTAGAACTTGGAACGGAGTTCATCTATGTCGTTTATGACCTATTTTTGATGTGAAAGGTGAAATTATTGAAATCTGCGTAACATTAGGTGATTCAGCTCCCGTTACCTTTTCGTATTCGTCCATAATGTCACGGAAGAAATTGGGTAGATTCGGCTGGTTTTGCTGACGAACCGAGGCGCGCCAGTTGTGTTCATTTATAGAAGATAAGTATGACGGCCGTTCCATCTTTGATAAATTAATAAGCATGATATGATGGAGTGATCTGTAATTTGGAAATTTCGTTATGTTCCGATTTAATCATTGATCCGACTAAGTTATACTTACAAGATTGCTTCGCAATCTGACGAGAATCGGAAAATTCTACCGCCTTCCAGACTGTCAATGTTTGTTATTTGATACTGACGGAAGGCATTTGAAACATTATATTGTTTGATAAACCACTAAAACGAGTAAAATAAACACAATATTTAATCCAAGTTCTTTAAAATAGATGCGATTGAATAAAGTCAGAATGGTGAACTTGCATCCTTTTGCGAGATACGGCCACGGATTTCCCGTTGTGTATCGAGATACATATCACGTAATACGATATTGTCAATGATATCCTCATCATGTGTATTGATCAAGGTCTCTTTTTTTTCATTTGGAGTCCTTAAGAAAAAAAAATACAGAATGAAATGAAATATTGCATGTTCATTACTCAAAGAACATAATAGTACCCACAATTCCGTTTCAATCGGGTTGTAGACCATTTCTTCTTTTCGTTCTGTAAACATTCGGTCTGTGATCAATATAGTATCCTTAACGATTTCATTAGCCTCATTGAAAGATCGGATATTCGAAACAGATTGTCTTTTTTTCTCGGGTATACTCTCGTCGGAGTTAGCATCCTCTGAGGACTTGTGTTTCAAGATTTGATTTAGTGCGTAATAAAAGTTAGTGTAAACCAAATTAGTACAGCAAGGAGGATAATGTAAGAACCTACATTTTCTTGATATTTTCTTTTCTTTGACTTATCTCTCTCTAATCCAGCAAAAAAGGTCCCACCGTTAGTGGTCCCGCTTACATTCCCATGGTTGGTCTCAATGTGAACTGATGGCGCACACTTTTTACGATTACACTCTTCCCTCCATGTTCTTGCTTCCCGACGGTCAGGCCGAGTACCCTAGCATAGAAGAATTGAAATTAGTTATTTTTGACCAACGCCTTCACAATTCTTCATCTGATTTCGTCCCATCCCATCAGGTCGACAAGAAGTCTTGAACATCCGACAAAAGAAACGAGAAGTTCGCCAGTGCCCCAACGGGATCAATACTGAGTCGACAAGAAGTCTTGAACATTAGACAATAGAAACGAGAAGTTCGCCCATGCCTCAGCACTGATTTTGTAGCTCGACAAAAAGTCTTGAATGGTGAAGAAACGAGAAGATTTCCTACCACGCTACTTATTCCCACCATATTTTCAACTAAAGAGCTTCTTTACTTGCCTTCTTATACCGATCTAATAGTGTACGTGCTTTTTCTCGCTTTGTCTTTCGCATATCAGATTTAATAATGTTTTTAAGTGATTTTATGTACAAGTCTATCTTCTTTTTGAAATAACGTTCTTCGCACTCTGTCAAAAAGTCAAGGATTTTCCATTCCACATATTTTCGATTAAAGAAGTATTCGTGAATTTTATCCATTGTAGTTTCGTGGAAAATTGGTATGTAGAGGAAAAAAAAACGATCAATAACGTGTGTTGTAATATGGGAATAACACGCGTAACACGCGTAATGTCACTCGCGACAACAATCATGTGATGCGATTTTTCTGCGCTCCTCGTAATACAGATAATCGATCAACACATCACATGTTATGTCACAGAACTTCTGAATTATAATATGCTGATCCAGAATTGCGAACCACTAACAAGTCATGTTTCATTTTATATTTATTATCCAGATGATTCGCCCAACTAAAATGTTGTTTTGTGTGCGAATTCATAATGAAGCGATGAATTGGCTTTCTAGGGATTATACACAAAGAAATGAGCGAGATTTCACTTCATCCGTAGCTCAAGTAATTTTTTCGTGTATTGTATATGGGTAATCATTTTTGAAGGTGGACAGTGATTTTTCGGACACTATAATTGTGCGCCTTAAAATTACATTATATACGTATTGTTTAAAAGTAGGAACCGAAAAAACACATCTATCATTTTCATCGTCTTCAAAAAGAATTATTAATACGTGTAATCAATAATTTTTCTGATTGTGAAGTTGTCTTCACGGTTTTTATCACGTGATTTTATTAATTCAAACTTTTTGCTTTTGAATATATCTGCATCTTATATAAGCAATGGCAAACACGCAATCTAAAAACGATTCATTAGAACAGATTTCCAAGCTTATAGCTGAGAATACCGAAATTAAAAAGAAGTATGCTGAGGTTGAGGCTGAGAATGCGAAGCTAAAGAGATAATAAAACAAAGCACAAGGCGTGAAGCTGAGTATGAAGCTAGAATTAAGAAACTAGAGCAAAGAGATAATGAGAAGGCTGGTCTTAAAACAAAATTTGAGGCACTAGAAAGGAAAAATAAAATGGATACCGCTAACCTTCCGGTTGAAAGTATCGAACTTAAAAACCAGGGTTGCGAAATTGGAACAGAAGCAATTGCAAACCGATGAAGATGCCAAGGGAATCGATCAATCTTCAGTTAATACCATCTCTACCAAAATGAAAAATTTTAACGATACTCCGGCATCTAATATATCTGATAATACTTCAATTCTGATATACATCAAGAATCGAAGACCCAATTCTCTACATCGCCCATCCATACAGAGCCCAAATCGTTGGAAGAAAAGGAAGAAGATGAATTCCTGGATTTAACATATAAGGAACAGGTTAGTAATGATATAAATCAGAGCATTAGTGGAAAAAAACTTCGAGATCAAGAATTGCTCTCAATTTCTGAGAATAATATTTGCTGTGAGCAAAGTTTAATGCAAGAAAAATGCCAAAAAATTTCCGTCACGAACTTACGTGACGATCGACAAGAAAAATGCCAAGGAATTTCCGTCACGAGCTTACGTGACGATCGGCAAAATGAAGCTATGGAACCCGATGAAATTGAACCTACTAAAAGTCAGTATAGAACAAGGATTAATAAAAGAATTACTCAATGACATCCCCATCATATCATCAGTTATAATCCCAGAATATCGACCATTTCAAATCACAACACAAAGCTTAGTCTGTTTATTTCATTATGCGTTACGATCTAGACATGAAGAAATCTTAGCATGGTATAATTACTCTGATAATTTTGAAAATAGAGTTATCGAAATTTGTCGGGATTTAGGAGTTACAGATAAAAAGGCTAGAATACAATTATACAAAGAAATGTTAGAGCATTTACCTGATATTACATCAGGAAACCTGCGTATGAAAATTCTAAGAGCCAAAAAAATTCATATGCTATTTGGGGAGAAGGGAGTTGGAATAGATAAAATTAAACAAGTTACCTATAGTATATTTGCTATCTCTAGACTTACTAATAACCAAATTCAAAATATTATCAAGAATGTAACTTCAGTAGAACCTTTATTGGAAACCGACACTCAACGTGATGATCAGACCGATGCGAAGGTAAGTGTTTCATCTAATAATATATTGCCGGAAAAGATATGCCTTGACACTAGCTCTGCTATCCCATCTATAGATCATGCAAGTATATCATCTATACCATCTGCCTTAATAATAATATCGAGGTTTTTATTTGTCATAAGTTGAAATAAAAATATTTATCTGCAACATTTCGTTATACCGAATCATTGATGCCCCCCCCAACCTTCGGTATAACGAGGTTCGCTGTACTCTGCTAGTTGCAGCTTGTAGTGGAAATGCTTTGACTTGTTGGGAGCACACAAATTATGTGTCAGTGTGCAGACAGCACTAGCAAACTACTTTGTAAATTGTGGCTTACAAATGGAAACACTTCAGCTGTCTGTGACACAGTCAAACCTGAAATAACCTTCCCCCTTAATATTAATGGACACTAATTCTTAAAGCATTAATCCGTATAACGGCAAGATCGGTCATAATACTTGTCCCGTGATCGATCGAGTGGCATTAAGATTATTATTTCTCAACGCGTTAATTTCTTATTAAGACCCCGACCTACAGATTACCGAATTAATCAACCGGAAGTGAGTAACTACCCCCCGTGGTAATTGTTGCAGTAACGTGACTCTGTATTGTTAAATCGTTGCATGTAACATTGATGATTGTCTACTAAGTAAAAAAGTAGGAATAAAAAACTTATCAAACAGACAGTCGGAAAACTTGCCAAAGACCTCTTACCACTCGAGGATGCCAGTGCAAATGTGCCGTCAAAAGTTAAGATTTATGGCATGCTTTACTTCATTCTTTGACTAAGCCACTTGTCGCAAAATCAAGAATATCTGCATATTCAGACCAACCGAATTTAGAAGATTCAGAACTAGCTGAAGCTACGTTCAAGTTAGCCGAAAAGTTTTTGCAGACGGTGCCCGAGCCATATGACAGAGATATTTGGAAAGTCGTATTACGTGTAAGTGATAATAATAATGCATTTGCATTATATGATCAGCGCTAAAAGATCACTCCAAAAAGGCATTGGGTAGTAGCACTAGCAAAGATGTCAATGTCTTTAATTCAGTGATCAAACGGATTGAGCAGTCTGGACAATCTACAATAGTCATAAATCCGAGATTTCTTGGGCACTTGCACGAAAACACCAAATTTCGCGAGCAATGGAACAGCTCGAGCAAATTAAAGAGGAATCCAAATATTTACCATCGACTAATCCACTTGTTACGCTGGTCGCCTACTGGGCCGAGCAAGGGAATATCGTAGAAACAGAGAAGCTTGTAAGTGAGTGGTTACCATTAGTCAATCAAATGCGAGATAGCAAGGAATCAGGTGAACCTCTTCGAACGAAACTTGTCTTCTCGCTGATCCTGATGAAAGCACATCTCGGTGCGCTCAAGGCCGAAGTTGAGAGTATCGAAGGCGTGAATGAAAGGCTAGGTGTGCCGTCTCACAGGTCACGAACCTCAGACATGAGCGCTTTTTTTGAATCATGGACCCGACTAGTGGAAAGCTTCTCCGTAAATGACTTACAATTACCATGGGCGAGTAGACAATATCATAATGCGATAGTTCAGTTCCAAATATTTGCAAATAGATTATCAGAAGAAGAATTTCCCTTGTCAAAGGCGTACGAAAAAATATTGAACATGAGGTCAGAAGGTATACAAGTTACTCAGAGGACGTTCCTCTATTTCCTTGAAGCCCAGGCGCGTACAGCAACGACTGGTAGTACAACAGAGAAGCCCGATCTCTCCAAGGCAGCTGAGATTTACTATTTGATGGAAAAGTACGGATATAATACTGATAAATCGAAAGCATTCAAATCAATGTTAGAAGCATCCTTTCCTTCGTCTGAACATCAATCCAAGGCGCCCGAGGATCGCTCGAAAATACTACATAGCATATTCGATGTTGAACGGATGATGGGTTTAAATGATGTGCCTCATAACGTAGAAACTATGAGGACACTTTTAAAACAGTTAGGATCAGCACCAACGCTTATTTTTTTATGAAATAACTGCTCGCAGCATTAAAGAGGCCTCAGCCGGCTTTTACCGCGATGTGGAGGAGATGGAATGAAATGCCTTTAGTTGGTTTGAACAGAGATTCGAGTCTATATGAAGTGTATTTGAAGCAGCTGCCCAAAAAGAAAATGAAGCATTATACGCGTTGAATGTTGTTCGGTATCAAATGTTGAGAGAATTTCCGCCAGTGAAACCAACCTTTCGTACGTACAGAGCAATGCTCAAATGTGCGTCCGTATGCAAAGATTTGGGATTTATTCAGGATATAGTATCAGAAATTGAGGGTCATATCGCAGACTCGGTACACGATGATGAAAACATTAAATGGAATTTGGCGATTATTGATACTTACTTACATACGCCAGGATTAATTAACGATGGAAAGACACTTGCAGCAAGATTAAGACTTGAAAGCCGGGTTAATCTTGAGTACTGGCAGATACTAATAGAATATTATGGTGAGGTAGAGCATAATATGGCCATGGTCAAAAAGGTTTTTGGATCATTCTGCGAATGGAGAAATAAATATGCGGTCTATAAGTACCCCTCAGAACGGAAGAACGTTAAGAAAGAGAATGCAGTCCAAGATAATGTGGAACAGCCAGAACATGATGGGACGAAAACGTCTAGTCACAATGTGAAGGGAAATAGAGAAACTGACGAAGATGAGGCGAAATTCCCACAAATCATACAACCGTTTCCAACACCTCCACTTGGTGTCAAAGACACAATAATGATTAATCTCTATCTCAAATACTCTATTCAATCAGGCGCGGATGATTTAGCAAAGGATCTTTTCTTGTCAGTGCTTAATTGTTTTCCACCAGGACTGGCTATTGATCGTTTCGATCTTGATGTTCTTAAAGAATTCGCTTATTTTGCATGGCAGGACAAGCGGCATGATGATCTCATATGGTTCTTTCACAACGTGATACATCGAGTAAAAGCAAGGAATGATAAGAGGGAGAAGGCAGCGTATAAAGAATTTAAGAATTGGGTTTTTGAATACGTGGAAGCGTTTGGTGTTCTTGTCAAGGCAAAAGAGAAACTTGCAAGGAAGTTCGAGAAAGAGAAGGAGAAAAGAGAACCTGCTGCACCACCCGGTTGTGATAATGCTATTATTGGTCAGAATTTAAGAAAATTAGTATGGAATTATCAAATAGATATGGAGTACAATTAAAAAAAAGTCTCTTGTATTTAATAATCTAAACTTTGGATGGTTTGAATTTGGGGAGGACATACCGTATTGTGCTGGTGTAGAATTATATTAAAAGTGGTGGTACGCTAAAGAATTAATCTAAAAAAGAAAACTTGTTACGCGTCAATAAAAATATTCGCAACTCAGAAAGTATACTGAAATCACGGAAAATATGATGGAAAAAGGTTCTTTCAAATGTTGCGGGATATCAATAAGAGAATGGGAGTTTAACCTTTGATTATGATAGTGAAATTGTATCCAAATTCGAATCAATCGAGGGCTCTATTAGAATATGTAACACTCCAAAACGAAATTAATTAACACTATGCAGAACTTCGAAACAGCAACGACTTCAGATCTGGAACCAATTTAAATTATTTTTGCTAGGATTATAGCAGAAGAAGAATGCTCTTTTGACGGCATGTGTAATGTTGTAATAGTTGAACTTATTGCTCTCAAGTGGGAAAGATTCGATTAAAAATTATTATTATCGTAGAATCAATGATTTAAGAGGTAGTAAAGAGGTGCTTGGATCGATAGCAAAACAGCTACACGTAATAGTGAGTCGCGGAAAAGGAACTGTCATTCTCGCTTTGTGAGGGGGAGCAAGGGCCGGCAGGCACATATTCCTCCCTCGTTGTCCTTGCTCTACTAGCTTTTGCATTGTAGTTTGATGCTAGTATACCATTATTATCGATAAAGACAATTTGATTTTAACCTTCTCAGGTAATACATTTTGACCGAATTTCTGAAGTTGGGGTGTTCAGTATTAGCAGTATATGACCGACTGTACTGAAATAGTAATGATATTCTAATATCACAGCTTATTGCGACTTTACTTATTAATATTAATATGTTGACCGACTTATGAAGAGGTTTTAAATATTGAAAAAAAGGGCTTAATATTTTTAACCGAGTTAGGCCCAAAACCGACTTATTGAGGGACCTACTTACCGAGTCTGTCTATGTAATAAAGTATTAAATTCTCTTGGAAGGCAGATACAGTGCCTACTCAAAAGTCTCCAACCGCCCCTTAACTTTTTCGTCGATTGCGAATAACACTATAGTCAACCATCCAAACGCAATAAAATTTTAGCCATTATTTGCGCATCTTCTAACCTATATCCTGCAAAATTTCGTTGCACATTAACATGTAAGATTTTGAGTTTGCTTATGCCTGAATTTATCTAACCGAAAATCGACAAACTATGCCGGGAACCATTTACTTGCCTGACAGTTCATTTGCCCGACAAATATTATTTCAAAGTTATCCTTTTTTGGGTAGTTTTCTGTCGGGCAAATGAGGACCCGTCCATTCTTGGTGTCCTTTGCACCATTCCAATCGGTCTTGACAGTTTTGACTGAAATGAATGGTTTTCTGACAGCAACTCGACTATGATAACCTGCTTCATACAATGTTCTTAACTGTTGAAAGACTGGCAACAGTTCCAGATGACTGGACAAAGTTATTGCGGGCTTGTTTTGCAGGTTGTTGACGATTGGACTGAACAATCCTTACAAGATGTCGCTTGTCTCTATCAGTAAGTAATGGTAGTCTGCCACTACGTGGACGGGATGTTCCACCACCAGTCTCACAATACCTTTCTATTGTGTGCTTTTGGCATGGCCAGTTTGGCTTCAAATTCCCGTTCAGAATGGTCAATCCAATAATAATCCCGCGCTTTAATTCTGTTATAATTACTAATAAACGCAAAGAATTTTTCGCAATGGTATGGTAATAGGAAAACTGAGTCCAAATTCCTTCTCTTGTATTTCTTACATTACGAATGTACATGCATTGTGATTGCGTTCCAACTAACGATCTGCAAAATGCATATTAATTTAGCACCCTTATAATTTTAGTCGGTCAATCGGGCGCACAAGTTCTGCAACTTTCGTTTGACAAAATTTCTTTTC